GCGTGGGCCTGGCCCCAGGCCGGGAGAGCCAACAGGCTCAGACGGGCACCGAGGCCCCGCTGTGACGGATGGAGCAGCCAGCGTCACCCCGTCCTCCCACCGGCACCCCGACTGCGTCTAGCTTTTCTGCTGAGGCCAAAGGAGCTCAGAGCATCTCAACAATGTGCACCCTGGCACGTGGCCCCACGATGGACGCAAGCCCGCGGTTTGGTCCCAGAGCCTGGGCTTTTTAGAACTGATTCTCTGGGGGAGACACGTGACACAGATGTCACCGTGTTCCCCACTCTTCGGGGTGCGGGTGGGCAGCCTTGAGTACATTCATGCGGCCAGGCAGCCTTTCCTGCCCTCACCCCCAGACACTCATCTTGTCTGAGGGCATTTAGGGGTCAACGTGGCTGGCCTTCAGCCCCCAGGTCCGGGTCTGGATTACTCCGGGGTCTGGGTGTTTCTGAGAGGTTTGGGGGGGGCTGTTAGCACTGACATCAGGGACCTGCATTGCTTTTGGGGGTGTCTCATTCAGTCAGCTGGACGCTGGCTGGAAGCCAGGCTGAGCCGACCTGCACGCTGCCTTCAGCGGGGTCTGCAGTGCCCACTGTCCCCGGCCCACTGTCCACCTGCAGGGTCTGGACTCATCAGCCTCCATAATCACGCAGACTAATTCCCTGGGGAAGTCTTTCATCTGTGCATATTCTTCTGGTATGTTCTCTCTGGAGAACCCTGACGAATGTAACTGAAATTCTACCTACTGGACAAGAGCTGTCCGTCCCGACACCCCTCCCCCACCCCTCAGGTCCTGCGACTTCCGTTCTGCTTTCTGTGTGGTGAATTTAACTGTTCTAGGCACCTTACAGCCGTGGATCGCAGCTGGGCCTTTGGCCCTGGTTTATTTCACTGACCATAATATCCACAAGGTGCATCCAAGTCGTCACATGGGCCAGACGTCCTTCCTTTTTGGAGGCTGAATAATATTCCACTGAGCATATATACCACAATGTGTCCATCTGTTTCTTTGCGGAGGGGCGCTGGGGTGCTTCTGCCTCTCAGCTACTGTACATAATGCTGAGTACTGTCCCTGCCTCCGAGTCTCTGAGTGCAGTCACGGGGCGCTAAGGCGCATCAATTCCTAATGCTTCAGGAGCCGCCATGTTTTCCACGCAACTGTCCCTTTTCCTGTTTAACACTCTCACCAGCAGCGCCCGGGTTCCCCTCGCCCGCAGCACCTTTCTGGTCTCGTGATGGCAGCTGTTGCATTTCCGAGAGCCCGTCCCCTTGCAGCGAGGACCCTCACGTTTCCGTCTTCGGGGGCCAAGTGGGTGCAGCTATGGCCCAGGTGTAAGAGAGTATGAAGGGCCTGGGGATGAAAGGGGGGAGCCCTAGATCCAACCTGCGGGTGGAGCTGTGTCTCTGAGGTGAGTCGCTGGCCAAGGCCACTCTTCTGGCCACCAAGCAACGTGGTCACCGCCCGCAGAGGGGCAACCGTGCCTGCCTCCCGCCGCCGCCCCAGGCACGAAACCCCCTACCTAGGAGGCCGAGACCCGACAGCAGCGGAGAGCCCTTTCCAGAAGCGGGGGAACCCAGAGCGGCTGGGGGCGGTCAGCCGTGATCTGCCAGGGCGCTGTTGTGGCTCCCTGAGCGCAGGCGGCGGGAAGGGCCGCCGAGTCCCAGCCCGCGAGTCAGGAGGGAGACGAGCTGAGGAGCCGGGGGACGGGAGGAGGCAAGCGTGGGATGGCGCGGCCTGCGTGCTCCGGGCCCAGGCGGCCGGCGTCTGGGAGGAGAGCCCGCCGCAGTCACACGCCCGTCTGTGGGGGCTGCCCCGCTCCTCGCCTCCTGCTCCACGGGCTGGAGGTCACAGTCTGGGCGAGAGCTGCGGGTCTGTCCCAGGCCGCCTCCGGCCGGCGTCCCCATGCCAGCCAGGACGCCTGGCGCTCCCACTGCCCCTGCTCCGGCCTCTCTCCCCTCTCTGCGCCCCTCCCTCGCGTGAGGGCACAGTCCTGCCGGTGAGGGCCCACTGCTGTGGCCACGTCCGACTTGGCTCTGTCTGCAAAGACCTGATTTCCAAAGGTCTTCGCAGTCTCTCCAGGGGCCGCATTTCAGCCCGAAGCCCAGACCTCAGCCGAGACACTGCGCCAGCCGGAGCTGGGAGGAGGCATCGCCAGGCAGGTGGGGGGTGGGGAGTGGGGTGGGGGTGCAGCTCAACCCAGCACCCTGAGCCCAGCGGTAGATGCGGCTACTCTCTGCCACCCTGCCCTGCCCGGCCTGGCCCAGGCCCCGCTAGCCAGCCGCTACCTCAGCAGAAGGCAGACCCCGCCAGGTGCCCACTGCGTGCCTGACCTCAAGGGCTCCTGCTGCTTCCCTGGCACCGCGGCTGAAGGCTCAGGCCAGCACTGGCCCCGGCAGAGATGGGGAGCCTGAGGACCAGGCGCCTCCTGACAGCACAGGCCACCCACATTGGCGCTCTGACGCGCCTGGGCTCCCTGGGGGAGCTCGTGAGGTGGCCTCTGTGCGCGGACCCTGCCTCTCGGGCTCCACTCGGGTAGGCCCTCGGGGGCCTGGCCAGGTGGGTGGGCTTTGGCCCTCTGGGGGCAGCTGTAGGGCAGCTCCTTGTCACTGCAGTTGGGGCCTGCAGGCAGGGGTGCAGCCCCTAGTGGTTCCCACATGGCATTGAGGCCCCTCCTGGGGTGGGGGTCATGGGAAGCGACACCTGCCAGCAGGTCCTGGCCTGGCCAGCCAGGGTCCAAACCTCCTCTCCCCCGCCAGCCCTGGGGCTTCTCCTCCAGCTCAGGCCAAGAGGTTGACGCTGGCTAGAGGGCAGTGGTTAGCTTTGGGCCGAGGAGGCCCACGCACTGGCTAGGGCTGGGGGCGTCTCTAGACCCTCTAACATTACACACAGGCCTAGTTTCTAGCACGTTTTCCGGAGGGGAGCTTGGAACGTCCTCTCTTGCTGAGCCGCAGAAGGCGGGGCAGCTGGCTAGGACCCTCCCTTCTGCCAAGTGTGACCCTCTCCTGCCCAGTGGCCACGGGACTGACCACGCCCCTAGCAACCTTGCAGGGCGCCTTCCCCCCACCCCCAAAGGCAGGCTTGAGGGACTCCCTGTGCCAGTGTCATGTGACCTGGCCTGAGGCTTTAGCTCTAGAAGGTGGCTCTGAGTGCCAGGCTCCCTGGGGGACTGTGCGGGGGTGGGCCTTGCAAGGACCCCACCCGGTGCGTGTGAGGACCCAGCCCAGTGCCAGGGAGGGTGCTCTGGCCTGGGGGATGCTCTTGCTGTGATGGACAAACTCTGAGTGGACGATGCTGTGCCTTCGTGGAGGGCAGCCACACCCGGAGCCCTCCTGGGGGTCAGGTTTGAGCTGGCGCTTTGTGGCTAACTCTGACAGGACCTCAAGTGCCCCTGTCCACCCTGGCTGATGTCCATGGGGGAGCACACTCCCCAGTGAGGCCGACAAACAAGCCGGCAGAGCACGTGCACTCTGTCCTGCAAACAGCTTCAGCCCCCTACCTTGTCTTTAGCAGAAACTGCAAGAAGCCCCAGGCCCGGTACAAACATGCACCCCACCCGTGTGTGGGTACACTTCCTGCATTCCCCCCCGCACGTACAAGTCCTATCAGACCCTATATACACACCGGTGGGTGGTCCTAATAAACATGGGTGCTCCTAATAAACCCCAAACTCCTGTTTCACCTTCTTGTGGCTCCAAGTCTCCTACATTCAGCAAACGTAGCCATTAGGGTGCCCCCAGCGTGCCCCTCGGTGGGTAGCCACAACGATGTGTGGACCAGTACCTAGCAAGGGGGCCAGGTAGGGGGGTCCAGGTTTCTGAAAAGTTCCACCAGGGGCCATCTCCACATGCCAACACCTGGGGGCACCAGCAGGTGACTGGTGTGGAAGCAGGTGCCCTCACCCCTGCCCCCTGCTCGCGGGCAGCAGCATCAGGCTCCATTTCAGAAAGAGGCACCTGGCACCCCACAGCCAGGAACCACGCACGTGTGCAAGGCGGTGGGATCTTGGAGGTGCTCCTTCAGTCATGTGGGGGTTCTCAGCCAGCCCAGCGCCAGGCCCACCCCAGGTGCAGCTTTGCCTGTAATTCCTGCTCTGCCCTGCAGATGGCGCCAGGTGCAGGAACTGGCCCCTTTCCTCCACCAGGTTCCAGGTCCTCCCTCCTCCTCCTTGGTAGGTTTCCTAGGCTGGCGGCCTGCAGTCTCTGTCCAGGTATGAGACAGAGGGAATGCCCAGTGTGAGTGATAGAGGGCAAGAGGTGCCCACACCATGAGAACCGCCTCCTTTCTCGTTCAACCCCTTCTTAGCCTGGAAACGCAAAGTTTCTGGTAAAACAACTATTTCTTGGGACAGGCAGTCAGCCTCAGAGCCTGGTTTCTTGGTTCCGTAGGTGAGAATTTCCTGAGCGGGACTCAGCGCTGATGAGCTTCATGAGCGGTGGGGTGCAAACCTGGTGTGATGATCCTTATCTGCACCCCAGTCCGGAGGGGGGCTCTCTCTCACACACCCCCCCTCCCTCTCGAGGCCTCCACCCTGCCTCTCTTGATCTATTTTGGTCAGACTCTTCAGCTTTTCCACTTCTTGCATCTATTTCGTTAAGTTATAGGTCTCCTGTTTTACTGGACTTGTCTAGTTTTTGGCAAAAGTGTTCCATCACCTTGTTATCTTTCCGTAGCCTGCAGCAGCGTCTGTGGTGATGCCCTTTCTTATCCCCAAGCTTGGTTACTGGGTTCTATTAAAATTCCACAAGCTGGTCAGTTCAGCAGTTCTGCTAAAGGATGTTTTGGTTTTGCTCTGTGGCTGCTTCCCCAATCTCTGCTCTTATCTTCACTCCTACACTTTACCTTCTCTGATTTCCTTTGCGACCCCGTTTTTTCGCCCCAAAACTCCTCAGCCTCTGCCACTCGCTGCCTGCTCACTTCTGAATACTAAATACGCCACAGGCGTTGGCTCCTAGGACTTTCTCATGGCTTCATGAAAACACTTTAACTCCCAACGTGATTTCACTAAGTTTATTAAGCAGCATAATTTTGAACTTAATATACAAAACTTCTGTTTACTTTCCATTATTTATTTGAAGCTTGAGAGCTACAGTGTAGTCCTAGACCATGTTGTATATCATTTCAATGCGCTCGAGTTGGCTTGAATCTGCCCTGGCTGGTATGTGATCAGCCGAAACCGGGCCCTGTGCTGTGCTGACTGGTTTGTCTGAATCCTCATCGCCTTCCTGATTTGCTCAATTTCTGACATCTTGTGGGATTGTGAATTCAGCTGTTTCTTTCCGTTCTGAGGCTAGCGGAAAGGCGGATGGAAACGATGGAACATCCTTATATAAAAGCAGGCAGGAGCGGAGGGAAGCCCGCGGACAGGTGAGCAAACAGGGCCCGCTAGCACCTTGGCTCACTGGGGCTCCGGGCGGGGAACAGGTTGTTGGGCTGAGCTAAAAATAAACCCAGCTGCCGGCTGTCTACAGCAGCCACACCCAAACAGACACAAAAGGTGGGCGCAGAAGCCCATCTGCACGGGCCAAGCTCTCTCGCGCCAGACCCCCTGGGCGTCACAGGCATGGCTGGCCACTGCAAGAAGCCCAGGCGGCCAGGTGGCCGCTGGGGCAGTGTGTCCTCCAGGCCTCGCTTCTAAAGCCTCTCGAAGGCCAGGGCTGTGCTCTGGCCCCAGGTTCCAGCCGCTGGTGCAGGCCCAGCTACTGTCCTGCCTCCCACTGTCCACCCTGTGGCATCAGAGGGGAGGAGGCACGGAGCTGGCGTCTGTGTGCTGGCCTGACCCCCAGAGGCGCCCGCCGCTCGCTTGGTTACTCACGGCCCCCTTCGCTGGGCGCGCCTGGCCAGAGCCCGGAGGCCGTCCCGGTGGGCCAGCTGCTGGCACCGGCTGGTGCTCACAAAGCAAGCCACAAAGGCTACAGCGCAACCCCACGCCCGTGCCTGCTGAGGAGGGGTGCCAGCAGGAGGGGGCGCCCCGAAAGGTCGCCGGACCGAGTGGGGAGGTCTTACTGGGGCCGGCTGCCTTGAGCTCTGAACCGAGGGGTGGGGGTGCCAGAGCCGAGGCTGAGGGGGTGAGGGGCCGGTACAGGCCTAGGTGGGGGGAAATGGCCGGGTGGAAAGTGCTGACAAGGAGCTGAGCTTATTTTTCTTCCCTGGCCTGTGTTACCCGGTGGTGACGAACAGGTCGCGTGGTCACGAATCTGCCTCTGCTAGGCGAGGCCCTTCCCGGGTGGCTCTGGCTGGTGCCCGCCACTCCCCACCCCGCCCCCTCCCGCTCTCTGCAACCACAGGCCTGCAAAGCTCGACCTGCTCCCCGCCCCCCCATTCCCTACCAAGCCAACTCGGTGCCCCACTCACAGGCGAGCACAGAAGCTGGTCTCCAAGACGTGTGGGCCTGGCCGGCCGCGACACCCGCCCTGTGCCAGGCACAGCAGCCACAGCGCTGCTCACGCCCAGCACCTCCGCACGCCCTCCCAGCCCCGCCAGGCCCACACGCCACGGCCAGGCCAAGGTGCTGCACGGCCCACCCCACCGCCCTGGGCCAGGGGCGAAGCCACCCGGCTGACACCGGACGCGCCATCTCCTTCAGCGCGCCCGAGACGCAGGCTGAACTGCCCCAGCTTCACGACTCCTGCTCCCCAAGCCCCCAGCTGTGACTGTCTCCGAAGATGGGGCCTTCCCAGCGGCAATCAGGCCATAGCAAGGGCGTTGGGGCGGCCGCACGACCGGGTAAAGTGGGTACATGGGCACGAGGCCTGAGGACAGCAGCTGGCCACTGCCCGGCCGGGCCCAGACAGCCTGGCCCTCCCGCCCCGGGAAGAGCCCTCACCGCCGACGCCCGGTTCCTGGGCCCCTGGCCCCCGTGACACTGAAGCTGCCCGGTCTGCGGGTCTCTGCCAGGGGCCCCGAGAGCAGTGCGCGCCCCTCCTCCCAGGGGCCATCTGGGAACCGTACTCCCCCGCCGGCCTTCCCCAGGCTGGCGAGACGGACGCTGCATCCGGTGTCGGGAGGGCAGGAGGCCCGGCCAGTGCTGGGAACTCGGCCGGGGCCACGCTGACGCCATCCAGCTGCGGGGCGTTTCCTTAGCAACCAGCCTCTTAATCTGGAGTCCACGCGGGCAAATCCGGCTTGGACCCAGGGCAGACCCGAGGCGCAGGCCCACCCCCTGGGCGAGAAGGGCGCAGCTGCGGGGGTGTGGTCTGCGGCTCCTCAGCCTGGGAAGGCCAGGAGGGGAGGGCGGCGGGGCGCGGCGAGGAGCGAGCCTCCCTGAGCAAACGCACCTGCAGTCGGGGCGCTCAGGCGCGGGCGAGCTCCAGCCCGTCAGGGCCCAGACAGCGGGCAGGTCTGGCCGGGCGAGGGGGCGAGCCGGCCTTTGGGGGACGCAGGGGGCCGGGCATCCCCGACAGGACCAAGTAGATGGAAAAGGCGACCGGGGGCCCCCCACCTCGCGTCCCTGGGCTCTCTGCCCCACGGCTCCCCCTCCAGGGCTCTCTGGACCCCCACCCACAGGCTGCCTGGCTCCCTGGGCTGGTCGAGGGTCCTGGCGGGTGCGGTGGGCAGCAGCTCCCCGTCGGCGCGGGCTGCGGGGGCAGCCGCCTGGGGCGGGAGGGCAGCAGGCACTGAGGGGGGCGGGGGGCCCTGCTGGCCGCCAGCGTGTCCGGGCAAGGGGTGCACAGTCAGCACGGCGCAGCTGCATGCTGCGGGGAGACGCTGCGGCGAAGGGCTGGCGTCGGACCCGGACGCTTCTGCTGGGGGGGCGTCTTCAGGGAGCGGGGGCACCAGGCGCGGCCCCCCGCTGGAGGGGCCCGAGGGGTCCCCGGCCCTGCAGCCTTCGGCCTG